AATGTAACCTATTTGCCATTTTTAGTCTATATAAACCATATCATATTATTACTCAGATGAGATGATTAATCAATAAGCAGAATGTTAGCCAAAATCTGGGGTGTAGGAAAGTCAGGAAAGTTACCAGGGCATCAAACTGGAATAGTGCAGCATAATAAGAGCCAGGGAACACGGTATGATTAATTTCAAGCTGGCTAAAGAAAAGAACTGGCAGAAATAGAAGCTTAGATAAGAATCTGGACAACTTTAACTTTAGCTCCCAAAACTTTGAAGCAGATATAAGATCACAGGACCCCTGGTGGGCTAGTGCTGTGTGTTATAAGAAGTTTTGGAATATAGAGGGAATTTGCAGGAATGAGAAAAGACCTGGAGATGAAAGGCCTCCTTTCAGTGTGATTACATTGGGAACGTCTAAATAAGCCCAGTAATCTTCACTTGATCAGTATCTTTTTTTGTGAAGATTACATACAATTCATGGCCACACTGAGGGAAAAGTATGACCCTAGCGTCAACATATTTTTCCGTCATTAAGAGAAGATGACCATCAATTACTGCTCTTCAGAGTTTAATTGCTAATCAATGATTGGTCTTATAAGAACACCATACCACAGGAGCAGTTACAATAATTCTCTGAACCAGAGAATTACATAATAGCCTATAGAAGATTACATCGGTCAGGTGGGGTTGGGGTGGTGGAGGGGACATTTCTGGGGAAAGTGGCCAAGTGGAAACAGCCTAGAGAGAAAAAAAGGCATTCTTTTTCTCTCTCTCTCTCCAATCTCCTCTCTCTCTCTCTCTCTCTCTCTCCCCCCCCTCTCTGTTTCTCTCCCTCTCTCTCTCTCTGTTTCTCTCTCTCTCTCTCTCTCTCTCTGTCTGTCTGTCTCTCTCTGTCTCTCTCTCTCTCTCTCTCCTCTCTATTCTCTCTTCCACCCCATTTCAATTGCCATATATATATTAGGGAAGCTGAAATTCTGTAGCAGTGTTGTTTAATAGAACTTTCTGAAGATTATGGATAGATTCTATATCTGTGCTGCCCAATGTCAAAGATGATACCCACTAGCCACATGTGGCTATTGAGTGAATACCTGGAGTGAGGTAAGTGTGACTGAGGGGCTAAGGTTTTGATCTTCCTTAGCATTAATTTCAACTTAAATAGCCACCTATGGCTATTAGCTACCATACTAGACAGCACAACCATATGGAGTGTCATATCTAGCATCTTGAGTCATTCTCACTTTTGTCTACCTTTTTCCCTTTTTAAGAGGGTGCTGATGCGATGTCTGGGATCACTAAGATTCTGATAACAGAGTTAGAAAATCACTGATGTATACAAATACATAATACTGTGCAAATACTTTGATGATTTACTTTGCTTGCCCCATGTTTTCAAAATGGTAGCCACCCTTTTAACCACTGCCACCCTCAAGAACATTCATAAATTCATGTTTAATTTATCTATCTTGATCTTTCACTTAACAAAACTCCCAAAGAATGGTACAACTTTTGCATGGCCAAGACATTTCAACGGCTGTAAACTCTGCTTATCTTCTTAAACCTAGCTCACCATGACCTGTCTTGTCTACATAGACAGATATCTCCAACAGGGAACTGTTGTCAATTTTTAGATCTCTAGAGACTTGGCTCATGTGTGTTTATCTTGCAGAAGCTGTTTCCAGCTGGAACCAACCACCTTGTATATGAATGGGAATTTTTGGTTCTAAAGATTAGAGGAAACATGTCCAAGAGGCTCAGCACTGGTGACCATGAAATCAGAAGACAGCAGCCTGGAAAACTTCCAGATTATTTGGAAGTCCTGCCAGTGCCAGATGTGGTAGACCCCATGTTTGGGGATCCCACAGCTGCTTTTATTCTGTTCAGCATGCTTTCCCTTCCTTTTGGTAGACCACCAGCTGTCTTATGTGTCTCAACTCAAGTTACAACAGCAAATCTCACTTTAGTGCTGGGAAACCAATCCCCTTAGCAAGTCCATAGCAAATTCCTGAGGAGATGACCTCAACTGCAAACTGTCTCAGTTAAAGTGGACTTATTGGGCCTAGTTAGAGCAAAACTGTAAATGGCTTCCATTGCATCTGTAAATGTAACTTAAGGAGAGACTTTTCATAGATGATTTCTGGGACTCTGGTTCACAGGGTGTAATTAGAGGCACAACCACCTATCCAGGGTTATTTGGAGGGCAGTCTCTGCAGACAACTAAATGGCAGGTGTGATCTCAGTGACAGCTGCCTTTAAAATATACAGTGTTCACAAGTCAATATGCATGCTGTTTAGAAATTAGCTGAATGTTCCTCATTGTTCTCCACAAAAATCTTAAAATCCTCCCATGTTATTCTGGATGTCTCATTCCATATAAATAAATGAAAATCATTAAAGCAGTTCTTCAGAGATTCCTAATTCTTCAGTTGTTGTTAGTGCACAATGTCACACGTAGAGATATTGTATGTAACCATTCTGTATGTACTAAAGTTTGAGGGGCCTTGACTGCTAAGAATTGCTTTAGTGATGGAATTTGAGGAGATTTCACTACTGTGACATAAGGCATAACACTATGACATAAGTAGGACTGGTGGCGTGGGAGAAGAGTTTTACTTTAGATATATAGGAAGTAGCCAGCTCCCTGTGCATGAAATGTGGTTTGTGCTCAGCCCAGCAGCATCTATGTTAAAATTGGAACATTACAGGGAAGATTCACGTGACCCCTGTAACCTAAGTACAGTGTGACTTGGGCAACCAGTACTGCCATGAACTGGGTTCAGCCTAACATAGCATATAACATTTTCTCTCTCTATAAGAATGTGACCAGCCTAGACAACACAGTGAGACCTCATCTCTACATAAGACAAAAATAATAATAATAATAATAACCAGGTGTGGTGGCCTGGTTTGTAGTCCCAGCTACTCAGGAGGCTGAAGCAGACAGATTGCCTGAGCTCAGAAGCCATGATCGTGCCACTGCACTCCAGCCTGGGTGATGTAATAAGATCATGACTCAAAAATAAAAAAAAATGACATCTTTATATGACATGTAGAAAGATAGGTGCATCTTTGCATACAACATGGCAACAGTCAAGCACGTGATTTGAAAAGCAAGCTGTATATAGTCTGGTTTCACTGGCTATACAAATATGGTCTGGTTTGAAAGATAGCCTTTACCATAGTTGTGAACCTAGGGAGAGCTTGTTCAATAGTGGGTCTAGATGCAGGGATGATCCCCTATACCACATGACTTCAGTGTTTGCAGGGGAAGTAAATGGAAATGAGATATGATTCCTGAATTTGAGGACATAGGAAAAATCATGTACATAATGAACCCATATAAATAAATGGAAATCATAAAACAAAAACCTTTATTAACATTAGACAGGTACAAGTAGGGGATTTGAGGGGGGTCATTCGGAAGGCAACAGTTGCCCCCTTAGTTTACTATGGAAGATTTATGCATGGGTGGAGTGACCTGAAACACAGTGACTTATATGGCACTTACTTGGAGAGTCGCCTGTCTACAGTGACATTTAAGAACCTTCCTGGTATGATTTCAGTGAAAAAAATATGCAGGGGCAGACTGCATCACTATGAAGCCAGTCCTGGAGGAGGCAGCAAGACTATTGCATGAACACAGAAAAGCAGCTACCATTTACTGAGTATCAACTAGGTACCTTTTATGTTGACATTTTATTTAATCTGCTTTTGACTTGCATTTCATTTAATTTGCTTGCCATTCATCTTTGCAGATCAGGACACTCCCAGCTATCCAACTAGCTACTTTTTCAGATTCTCTATACCTGGGTTGCTAATAGTTACTTGACAACAATTTCACAAACCTGTTGGTAGGCCTTCGATTTCAGCTGAATCTTTTTCACACTTACTGGCAATTGCTCTTCATCTCCTTTGGCTACTGGTTCTCAAGATGTGATCACCGCATTGGCTTCACCTGGGAACTTGCTAGAAATGCAAATTATTGGGTTCCACCTCAGACCTGCTGAATCAAAAACTCTGGGGGTAGGACTCAGCATTCTGTGTTTTAACAAGTCTGCTACATATTTATGATGCAGATTCAAGTATGAGAATCACCTTGTCAGTTCCATTCCTCCCTTATTCCTTTCCTCAAAACCTATTCCAAACTTTTACCAGTTTCGCAAACCCTTTACCTCTCAAACCCCTTTACTTGTATAAGAAAACAGAAACTTCAGAGCAGAGGTTTCCAGTTTTTCGATTCCTGTTACCCTAAAATTCCCATACCAGGCTCTATCTTTTTCTTCTCCCCACTTTTCTCAGTAGAAGAGGGCACTTTTATATATTGTATAATATGCACATTATATATTAGATATAACATATTTATTTATATATTTATATACTGTTTAATATATTATATGTTATATGTATAATATTTTATGTATAATATAAAATATATAGAAAGCATATGTTATATTTACATATAATATAGTATATATTTTATATATTCTATAAACAGTATATATTTTATATATTCTATAAATGATATATTTTATATTTGTGTGTGTGTGTGTGTGTGTGTGTGTGTGTGTGTGTGCGCGTGTGTGTTCTTCTCCCCTCCAGGTTCCAACTCCTCTCCTCAGTGAACTTTCTCCATCAATTAATCATATTCTGATAATCTTTGAATCTTTCTACTGACCTTTGGTCCTCATTTTCTCTATTCTCTCCTATATTAAAAAATCATCTATAATCCCTGCTAACAAAATCCTGTAACTTCTTCCCATTGATAGCCAAGCGAAGGACATTAGCTGTTTCCCCTTCCTCACCTGCATTTGCTCCACACCTCACAGCAAGCTCACATTTTACCCCTATACTTCTTTGAAACTGTCTTTCCAAATTACCGATGCCAAGAATGTCAGGGAGAGTGTTACAATTTTTATTTATTTATTTGTTTGTTTGTTTGTTTTGAGTACATGAAACTTTATTGATGGTACATGGCAAGGCGGGCTCCCTAGGTTTCCCCCCTCCATGGACAATGTGAGGAGGAGAGGTTCTCAGTGTGGTCAGGGACTCCCCAGCAGCTGAGGGCTTCTCTCTTCCTCTGTGATCTCACTGGGGCTGGTGGTCTGGGGGATCTTATTCCTTGGAGGCCATGTGGGCCATGAGGTCAACCACCCTGTTGCTATAGCCAAATTCATTGTCATACCAAGAGATGAGCTTGACAAAGTGGTTGTTGAGGGCAATGCCAGCCCCAACATCAAAGGTGGAAGAGTGGGTGTTTCTATTAAAGTCAGAGAACACAACCTGGTGCTTAGTGTAACCCAGGATGCCCTTGAGGGAGCTCTCGGATGCCTGCTTCACCACCTTCTTGATGTCGTCATATTTGGCGGGTTTCTCCAGGCGGCAGGTCAGGCCCACGATGGACACGTTGGCGGTGGGGACACGGAAGGCCATGCCTGTGAGCTTCCGGTTCAGCTCAGGGATGACCTTGCCTACAGCCTTGTCAGCTCTGGTGGACGCTGGGATGATGTTCTGTAGAGTTCCGCAGCCATCGCGCCACAACTTCCCAGAGGGGCAATCCACAGTCTTCTGGGTGGCAGTGATGGCATGGATGGTGGTCATGAGTACCTCCATGATGCCGAAGTTGTTGTGGATGACCTTGGCCAGGGGGGGCTAAGCAGTTGGTGGTGCAGGAGGCGTTGTTGGCAATCGTGAGCTTGTTCTAGTATTTCTCGTGGTTCACACCCATCACAAACATGGGGGCATCGGCGGAGGGAGCTGAGATGATGACCCTTTTGGCTCCCCCCTGCAAGTGAGCCCCAGCCTTCTCCAAGGTAGTGAAGACACCGGTGGACTTCACCATGTAATCAGCGCCAGTGTCGCCCCATTTGATTTTGCTGGAATCTCGCTCCTGGAAGATGGTGATAGGACTTCCATTGATGACAAGCTTCAGGTTCTCAGCCTTGACGGTGCCGTGGAACTTGCCGTGGGTGGAGTCATATTGGAACATGTACACCATGTAGTTGAGGTCATTGAAGGGGTCATTGATGGCGACAATATTCACTTTGCCAGAGTTAAAAGCAGCCCTGGTGACCAGGCGCCTGATATGGCCAAATCCATTCACTCCGACCTGCACCTTCCCCACGGTGTCTCGATGACGCGGCTGGCGCAGCACCAGAGACCGGCTGTCCGTAGAATGGGAGGAGCAGAGGGCCAAGTGTTTACCATTTTTAAATAAGTCATCAGGAAAAGCCTTATTGAAAAAATAAAAACATTCCTCCTATGTCTCTAACCACCTTTATTTATTTTGCTTTCTGTCCCTTAAATGTTAATGTTTATCAAGATTCTGTGGTTCCATCCTCTTCTCATTCCTTCCAAATTTTTATCATCAGTTTAAGTCTTTCCAGAACTTAGGAAAAACATATTGGCTCACTCAGAAAACATCTGAGCACCTGCCTCAGAACAGCATCACTCTTCTTAGCCTTAACACCTGAAAGTTTTTCTTCATTCTTTCCCCTCTTTATACCCTACGTCTCACTGGAGAGGAAATTTTACACAATAAAGTTGGGAAAGCCATGTAAATTCACAAAAGGGAATTTGGATAAGGATGTAAAAGACTTGTTCAAGAAAGACAGCATCCACTTAGAAAAAAATTGGGTTAGTGTAGACAGAAAAGGGATAGGACAGCAGGAAGGAAGAGACCCAGCTTCAGATATCTTATATAGGTGCTATGTCAGAAGTCTTTGGGAGCTAGTTGACCAAGACAAAAATAAAAAGGATTAGGTAAGTTAATTATGTATATGGGATCTTATGGGGGAAGAAGGATAAAAAAATCACAATCTTGGCCATAACTTTCAGGGAGAGCATAAATGCTAAGCTTATGAGGTGTGTATGAGAATTGGGAGCAAAAATGATCAAAACAGTTGCTAAAATACAGCATGGAAGAGACAACAAAGAAAAAAAAGGAGAGGGAAATAATAATAATTTCAGTTTATCCTTTTCATAAAAAATTGATGTGATAGAAATGTAATATTTGTAGAAAATGTTGAGAAAACATTTATTAATATATAATATGTAAAACACTTTAAAACAAGAAATTGTAAGTGTAAAAGAAAATAATTTATGCAATAGTACTTCTAAAATGATGAAGTGTTTTCCATACAAAAGATAATTTTTATCATGAGATGGAATCATGTTAACATGCAATTTGAGGGTCTATTGTACATTATTTCTAAGAAGATGTTTACCTGTAAAATGAGATCTGAGGAAAAAAATTCTAGAATATGGTTCTGTAAACCCTATTTTGTATATTAATTCCATGTATCTTGTGTAACAAATACCAACAGGGTGTAGGTCACAAAAAAATTGCTGTTCATACCTGAAGAAAAACCTCTCCCAATGAAGCACTTGGTGGTTCTAACCAGTGCTACTCTCTCTGAATACTCAATTTCAGGCACATTTGTAGTTTTAGGGCTTAAAGTGGTTCCTAAGTGTTTATATTCTGTTATTAATCAAGATAAATGCCAAAGAGTTCTTTGTTTCATTGTAGTCATGACTTTGTAGGGTTTGTACAAATGTGTTAGACTCTATTGTATACTTGTTCAATTGCTCAAATATAAAAGGCTTTCTTCTTTTTTAATTTTAGTACCTAAAACGGCAAGGGAAGGCTGATAACATTGTTAACACTGTTGGGTCCTGAAGAAAGGTACTTAAATTAGGTTATATTTTGTCAATATTTCTGGTTCATTTCTAGTCAATAGTCAAACCTATAATTAAATAGTCCTATTACTCTCAAAAAGAACATAAATGGGTGATTGAGTAAAACTTTGATAGAAAGAGGTAGGGCTTATTTTTGCATATATGCTATATTTGCTCACAAAATAATTTTTGCCAGTTTTTAAGCACATTGGCTGGCCAATTTATACTTTTAAAAATAAATTTAAACTCAAATAACTAGCTATGATGCCAAGTGAATGGCTTGTATTTATTTTGCTTTTTAAGTGGTTTTTTTGGTTGTCATTTTAGATACAAACTAATTTGATAAATTAGACTATCTATATGTTTCTTAAACAACCAGGTAATTCAATAAAAACCAAATTAGTAAAAGGGGCATAAAATAAACCAAACATCTAGTAGATTCACTCATTGCTCAATTAATCTGTCATCAGTCTTCAATTGACAGAGATCTGCTATCTCTATATAGGTCAAAACAAAATCTGATTAATCAAAATGTTTTCATGAAGCCAATAGTTACCAGAAATTATGAGGCAGTACTGGGCAAGTTTCAGGATACATATTCCCAGATCTTTCTAGAAAAAAGTAGGACAGATCCAATCAGTGTTGCAGGATTTAGGTAATAATATAACTATTGAGGACTTTTTCAGCTTTAGAATCTTCTTATTTAGACACAGCATCAAGTCCTTACAAGCTGTGGATACAAGAAGTGGTATATTCATACAATTGAATATTATTCAACCATAAAAAGGAATAAAGTACTGATTGATATATGCTACAGAGTAGCTACGGATGAACCTTGAAAACATGCCAAGAAGTCAGTCACAAAAAGACACACATTATATGATTCCATTCATATGAATTATCCCTATAATAGGCAAATCTATAAAGACAGAAATTGAATTAGTGGTAGATTTGGGTGGGAAAGAGGATGGGAGTGCAGGTGATAGCCGAAATATACAAGGTTTATGTTTGAAGCGATGAAAATAACCTAAAATTTACTATGAGATTAGTTACTCAACTCTGTGAAAAATACTCAAAGCCATCAAATTGTGCAGTTTGAAAGGGTGAATTGTATGGTATGTAAATTATTTCTTAATAAACAAAATTGATATTTCTTAATTTCTTAATAAAGCCCTTATTTTTAAAATCCCCATAATTTGCAGTGTTGTAACAATGTTCAACTGTATTCTAGGGCTACAGAGGCTATATGGTCTAATGGAGAAAAGGCACACAAAAGCTTTAGAGTCATTTGTGACTGGATCCTTATGCCTACCAGCCTCTAATAAGCTATACAATTTTAGAAAGTCAGTTTTCTCAGATATGAAGTGGGAATATCACCTAGCCTCTTGCAGGATTGTTCCAAGAATGAGATGAGATATTTTTCATAAAGAACCTCACACAGTGTTGGAGACACTTATAGCTACCCAAGAAATATTTTCTCCCTTCTTACTTTCATGATCCATGTAGAATGTCTCTTTTACTTAGATTTCACCCTTGTGAACATGAGTCAAAACCGTAATTTCATCCCAGCCTTCCTTGTGACATAACATTGCCATCAAACAAGACAACCTGAAGTTTTATTTTTGAATAACAACTAAAGAAAACTTGATGATGTAAGTCAGTAAAACGTGTTTGTGGGTGTGGGAAAAACCCCCAAAAGAGGTGAAAAATTAGGGCTGGACGGCAACACGGAAGTGCACCTCATTCATAACAGAAGCATTTTGCAGTTGATGACACCCCCACAAATGACTAATCTCCAAGAAGAAATGTGATTCCTTCAACTGCGAGGAAAAGAAGTTTAATACAGGCAGCTGTGGCGATAAATCTTCCTATCAGTTGTGGTTATAAGTCTGGAAAATTGCGAGTTAACTGTCCTAGTGTATCATACACATTTATTTCTATTTGTTTAAATATTTTTTGCCTTGATCTACACAGAGATGGCTGGTAATAAACAGCCATTAAACACTGGTGTCAGAAAACCACCAAAGGGAATTCATTTACTAGCATCCATGATAATAATGTAGATGCCTAATTCAGAATATGCAGTTTTCCTTTCTCTGTACAAATATTAAAATAATACCTCTGCTTGCAGTGCTCAGGATATTGCTTCCTGAATCTCTGCCACAGAAGAATAAATCAAGGAGAGGGCTTTTTAAGTATATGTAGAAATTGTAAATATATTGATATTTGTCAAAATGTATAGTTTACTGGCAGACCCTAAATATTTAGCTGGGTTAAATAGAATCTACAATTCAAATGCAGCTATGGAAAATTTTGTGGTAGTTTAAGAGTTCATAACACATGTTTCAGAGTAATGTTTCCACTTTAGGAACATAAAGGAACATGACTTTACTTTGCAATTGAGATACCTAAACAAATAGGCAGAGGTGGGAGGGAGGGAAGAAAAGAATACTATTGTGGTGGAAGAGTAGACAGTTGCTATCTTTGGCTAACTAAAAGTAATATTCACTTTCAACCTAATGTGTTTAAAGAGAATTTCCAAGAACTGTTACCTCAGCAATGACCTTGGGGAAAACAGATCATCTTTTAAGAGAAACTTTTTTTCTGCCTGGGGACTTTTTCATTCATTCATTCTCTCTTCTGGTAGTTGTGTCTAAAGTAGTGCTATGGGGAATTGAAAATTAAGGATTTAATTATTTTCCAGCTTTATTGCGATATGATTGACAAGTAAAAATTGTATCTAAGATGTACAATGCAATTTTTTTAGTGAGAAAGCAGGATTTATTGAGAGGACAGAGAAGCTCCCACAGTGGGAGGAGACCTGAGGGGGTTGCCCCGCAATGTTTTAATATACACATACATTATGAAATGATTATCATGGTAAAGCTGATTAATATATTTGTCGCCTCACGTAATTATCTTTTACTTGTGGTGACAACATTGAAGATATGTTCTTTTAACATACTTCAAATATATAGTACAATATAATTAATTGTAATCCCTGTGTTATACTTTAGATCTCCAGAACTTACTTGTCCCACAAAACTGGAACTTCGTAATCTTTGACCACCGTCTCCCTATTTCTGCCATCCTCTAGCAACCATAATTCTACTTTCTACTTCTATGAGTTCCACTTTTTTAGATTCCATGTATGATTGAGATTATGCAATATTTGTCTTTCTGTACTTGGCTTATTTCACTTAGCATAATGTTCTCCAGGTTCATCCATGCTGTTGCAAATAACTAAACTTCTTTTATTTCAGTTGTATAGTATTACTTTTTAAATTTTTTTTTATTTTAAAGATTGAGGTACAATTCAGAGTTAGGCATACAAATGTTCATTATGCAGTTACCGTTGTTGATAAGGTGTCCCCCTCCTCCCCCAGCAGAATCCCACTACTGCCAATCCCAGCCTCCACCCATCCCAGCAATTTTCCACTATTGACAATTCTTTTCTTATTGTGTGTGTGTGTGTGTGTGTGTGTGTGTGTGTGTGTGTGTGTGTGTGTGTGTGTGTAGCC